CTGTAAGGAGCTATACAATTTTTGATTTTGGAGCTTTTATTTCATTAAAATCAAGCAAATGCAATCTATGGGAAGAAGATAAGGTACAGGTTGACCCTGTTGATGAACCAAAGACGAGCTCTAAAAATCACTTCTTCCACTTAATTCTTCAAGAGATAATTGTAATGTCCTTAAAACATCCTACAATACATGTTGAAGAAGGATACATTCAGGTATTTTGTTTCTTTCCGTGGCGCCCACCATTCAACCAATTGGTGAGATTGCACTACTTTAAGTCTATTATCTCTTTTCTCTTCATCTGTATCTCCTTTCATTGTTGAATTACCTTATCAGCATTAATTGCCAGATAACTATTCAGCAAAGAACATTGCAGAGATGCGGCTTGTCACCCATTCTCTTCCCTTATTATGGATTGCACTATTTAACCTCCTTTAACCCCTTGTGTTCCATTTTATTGTTTATCGTTTATTGTTTATCGTTTATTGTTTTGCTTATTGTCTCACAATATTCCTCTTCTTGTTTGTTGCAGTGCTGCTTCAATTTGCTACCTTCCTCCCTTTCCTCCTCTATATGATGAAATATGGTAAACCTTAGTACACAATCTCTCTCTCCTCTCTCTCTCCTCTCTCTCTCTGTGGATAAAATCAAATGCATGAAGGAGTTAAGGATATATGAATTAATGAAGGTCCCTGCTCTTGTGACATGTTTGTTAACTTTGTATGTATGATTTATGCAAACTGGGATCTTGCTGGGTTAAGAATAGGGAAAGGTCCTATAGTACATTTGAGTATGAAAAATTGTACGGTACATACAAAATTAATGGTTAGGATTGAGCCACAGTCATTAAAAATGACTTGCTAAAAACAGGTCACTTTTTATAGTTATGAGCTTAAAAATCAATATTTCTTTCATTAAACATTAATCAAATTGATGTCATAACTTAGCTATAACTACTATCTCCATAACCAACAACCATTTGTTCATAACTAAATATCCATATTTCATAATCATTAATTTATCACATATCTCATAACCAACACCACTTGATCATAACAAATATCACAATACCCTCATAAACTATTGATCAATACCTCATAACCACATCTTCATACCAATCCTTTTGAGTCATTAACCAACATCACATATAATCTATAACCACTAGTCACATATCTCGTAACCAACCCTTTTTGTCATAACTAATTCACATATCTCAAACCACTAATCCACATCTCATAACTAACTTTACCCCACGTAAATCATTAACCACTCTTCATAAACAATCCCTTTGATCATAAACCAACATCACATATCTCATAACCATTAGTACATTATGCTCGTAACCAACACCTTTTTGTATAACCAATTATCACATATTTCAATAACCACTAATCACACTATCCTTATAATATAACACCTTTTCTCAAACCAACATCACTTTGATCATAACCAACACACATATCTCATAACTACTAGTCACATTCTAATAACCAACATCACATATCTCACCAACACTATCAAATAACCAATATCTCATAACTCATAACCATTATACAGATTAGCATAACCACACCCTCTGACACCACTTTGCTCAACCATTACCCACATATCTCATAACCACTAACACATATAGCATAACCAAAAACCTTTGAACAACCACATTTGCTCATCAACATCACCATATCTTATAACTTCTAAAACACATATAGCATAACCAAATACCCTTTGACACCAACTTTGCTCATAACCATTACTCCATATCTTCATAACCACTCATAACTATTAACCACATATTCTCATAACCACTAACATGTAGCATAACCAAATACCCTTTGACACACTTTGCTCATAAACCATACCCACATATCTCATAACCACTATCATAACCATTACCCACATATCTTCAATAACCACCTAACATATCGTATTACAAACACCCTGTTTGACCACCACACTTTACTCAATAACCATTACCCACATTCTCATAACCACTCATAACCATTACCCACATATCTCATAACCACTAACACATATAGCATAACCAACACCCTTTGAACCACTTTGTTCAAACCATTACCTACAATATCTCAAACCACTCATAACCATTATCCCCACGATATTCTCATAACCCACTACACATATGCCATACCAAACATCCTTTGACACCACTTTAACTCATAACGCATTACCCACATATCTATAACACTAACACATATAGCACTAACCAAACACCATTTGACACCACTTTGCTCATAAACCATTACCCACATAATCTCATAACCACTCATAACCATTACCCACATAATCTCATAACACTAACACATATAGCATAACCAAACGCCTTTTGACACCACTTTGCTTCATAACTATTACCCACATTTCTCATAACCCATAACACATATGCATAACCCAACACCTTTTGCACCACTTTGCCCTCATAACTAATTACCCACATACTCATAACCACTAACACATATAGCAATAACAAAATCCTTGAACCACGAACTTTGCTCGTAACCATTAGCCACATATCTCATAACCACTAACACCATATAGCATAACCAAACACCATTTACACCCATTTTTCTCATAACCATTACCCACTATCTCATAACCACAACAATATAGCAAACCAAACACCCTTTGAACCACTTTATTCTATAACCATACCCACATATATCATAACTACTAATCACTATATCTCGTAACCAAACACTCTTTTTTGGACTTATAACTATAAACCACTCTGCTATAACCCAAATCACACTATTCGTAATCACTAAATCATATATCTCGCATTACCTTTACCACATATATTATAACCACTCTCATAACCAGCACCCTTTGTTCATAATCAATATCACATAATATTCAACTACTAGTCATAATATCTCATTAAACACTACCCACATATTAGGGGTGTAAAATTTAGGCACCAATAAGCTCGCAGCCACACCCCAAGTCCGCTCGTGCCCTGGGTTAGGCCTAACTAGGCTTGAGCCTAAACCCAACCAAGACCCTGAGCTATGTTGTACTAGAGCCCACGAACCCCGACCCCTGGTGTTTATGGATGTGTGACCCATCCCGTTGAGGTCCGCCCCGAAAATTTCCTTTCCCCATCTGGCGTCGACCTGACCCAATGGCTCCTTGCCCCCATTGTCAGTGCAATGGTCAAAAATTTAAATCAAAACATTGAATAGAGTCCATATAAGCCGTTAATTTTCACCAACAATCAATTTTATTTTTTATTTTATATATATAAATAACTCCTTTCCCTCCCAAGTCCTATAATACCACCCTCTCACATTTATTTCTCACAACAAATTTGCTCTCAAAGTCCATTCTCTCTAAACTCTCATACATATACAAATCTTTGGCCGTAGTTATTATTTATCAGATTTGTACATCTTAAGAACTGTTTTGAAAATGAATATTACGATTGTGTTGTACTGTTTTGCTTATCTCAGCTCTCTTCAATCTATCAAAACTCTCTCTCAATTCCTTACTGTCACTGTAGTAGTATCTCCAATGCTTCCTTATTCGGAAACAACACACCATCCTTGACATTATTTTCACAGACGGACAAGTCGTTCAGTCTCTTTACTCATATTCCTTTCCTTTCGCTCTAATTGGTTTAATTTTCCTCTAAACCTCTCATTTTCTGTCCATGGCTATAAGTGCGTGTGATAAATTATTTGATTTATTGTATTACAATTCTGGTTATTCTGTTTCATTTAAGAAGATCCTCGATTGGTTGATTAAAATATTTAAAATTTTTAGATGTTTTTGTACACCAATTATGGATAGTTAACAGTATATTTTGGTTATGTTATGAAATTTTGGAGATAATTAGTTAGCACACATCTGTGATTTCTAGAATTTTAAACATTTCCGTTAACGGCCAATTAAGTGGATGCAAGTTAATCTCCTCGTTCACTTCGAGCTCTGCCTTCCTCTGCTTCAGCTCCTCCACATTCTGTTTCAGCTCCACCACATAGTTGGTGGCTTGCTCTAACATGTCACGCAGCTGCAATAATTCTTGAAAAAATACCCCATTTATTCATTCTGATATTATTATGTTGCATTATAGTAATTTAATTATAGACTACCAACTCTTCATCTAACAACTTCACTATTAAGGTGAGAGAGACATTTATTATTTATATTATATTTTTAATATAATTTAAATAAATATTAGATATAAAATTGACTTTATTGAAAAGTCCAAGTAAAGAAAGAAAGGTAGAGTGGACTTCTAGTTGTTACGCTTGGATTTGCATGGCTGTGTTCCCTTTGACTCAGTTTGCCTTTATTTTCATGTCAAGTGTCGGGATATATTTTCTGAGTACCAACACATGACCAAGGTGACGCCGACGTGTCAGCCGAGGTGCCACGTGTCCTGGTTGTTATGTCGAGGTCATCTCAGATAGGCCGAGGTTACCTTTGAAGATATCGGAATCCGAGATAAGCGGATGAGGAGCAAGAGTCCTAGAATGAGAGAAGACTTCAGTTTGTATTAAGATAAGACTCTTAGAGAGTTTATCCTAATCTTACTAGGAGTCCAAGATTAACAGTAATCCTGAGTCCATAGAAGTTAGGCTTTTATTGGGACTAGGTTTATGTTGGCTATAAAAGAGAGGCACCCCCATGGGTCTAAGGTATGCTTTTGATACTCAAGCTTGTGAGTTTAGCACTTGATTTATCTTTGAGAGATATACTGACTTGATTGTCGGAGTGCCCCCGAGTGGACGAACCACCGCCAGAATCTTCTCTTTCTGTTGCAGGTCAGCCAGGTTCCATCTATTCTGTCGGTGCTCTCCAGTTGGTTACTAAGCGGGCAGTGTCGTCAGAAAATCACCCACACACATTCTAATCAATGGATATTGCAAGAAGATGAAAATAGATGAGGCCATGAATCTCTTTCGAGAATTGCCTCGAAGGGGGTTGAAACACAACAGAGGAACTTTCAACACTATGTTACAAGGTTTGTTTCGATCAAATAGATGTGGAGCTACTCAGGAACTTTTAATGAGATGCAAGTTGTAGGCATAATTCCAAATTCTCAAACTTATGGTATCTTATTGGATGGGTTGCGCAAAAATGGGCATATTTCTGAAGCATTGTCATTATTCCACATGATGGAAACGAACGGTTTAGATCTTGATATTGTTATGTACAATATTCTCATTGATACATTCTGTAAGGATAAAAAGCTTGATACTGCAAGGGCCCTTTTCAATAACCTTTCTTCCAAGGGGTTACATCCTGATGTTAAGACATACAATATGATGATACACGGTCTTTGTAAAGAAGGCCTACTACATGAAGCCAAAGAGTTGTTTGTTAAAATGGAACTGAGTGGTTGCTTGGCAAATGATGTCACTCACAACACTATTATCCGAGGATTTATTAGACGACACAAGTGCCATGAGGCATTAATACTCTTTGAGGAAATGGTTCAAAGGGGTTTTTCAGTAGATGTATCCACTTTTCCATTGATTGTAGATATACTCTCAACTAAAGGACAGGATCCTTCTCTCCAAGAAGTGATAAAGAAGTTCATGCCCAAAGATATTCATGGAATGCAAGAGATTGAGTAAATTTCTAAAGCTGTGAAGGTAAGGCTATATTATACTAAAACGTGTAGCCTTTTATGTTCATAAAATGTCTGGTGAAACTCTTTCAAATATATGTATAGATGTTGCATCTTGCCTATACAGATATGTACTGCACTATTGACAAATGCAGTACATTGACTAGTACGAATTAACGACATTTGTTATGCTTTATTATACCTCCTCTTACACTAGGATGAAATTATTGGTATAAATTAAATGGGTTGCGATTGATCTCTATTAGCAAGAAGATTGATCATGAAATTGTTCCTTTTGCAATTCCTACAGTGCTATATTAGTTGCTCTTTGCATGAAATAGAAAACAGAGCCATTGTCTTGTTTCAGTACATGACTCAAAGATACATAAACCCTAGCTTCTACTATTTTTTGAATTCTTTTTACAATATGCAAATCCATGCCCAAAGATATTCATGGAATGCAAGAGATTGAGTAAATTTCTAAAGCTGTGAAGGTAAGGCTATATTATACTAAAACGTGTAGCCTTTTATGTTCATAAAATGTCTGGTGAAACTCTTTCAAATATATGTATAGATGTTGCATCTTGCCTATACCGATATGTACTGCACTATTGACAAATGCAGTACATTGACTAGTACGAATTAACGACATTTGTTATGCTTTATTATACCTCCTCTTACACTAGGATGAAATTATTGGTATAAATTAAATGGGTTGAGATTGATCTCTATTAGCAAGAAGATTGATCATGAAATTGTTCCTTTTGTAATTCCTACAGTGCTATATTAGTTGCTCTTTGCATGAAATAGAAAACAGAGCCATTATCTTGTTTCAGTACATGACTCAAAGATACATAAAGCCTAGCTTCTACTAGTTTTTGAATTCTTTTTGCAATGTGCAAATCAGAAAACCCAACTTGAGAGGCATTTAACCTAAATTAGTTTAGGTCTACAACATGGGTATATTATTGCTAGTCACCATTTTCAAAGTTAAATCTTTCATTCTTGTCATACAACACTCTTTTTTAATGGAATGCGGATTAAGATAGATTAAGATAACTTAGTGAACCCTTTTGCTAGTGTATTTTTAAAATGATTGACTGGTTTTGTAGCTTGCTTGGTTTATTAGCCCATATTTTGATGTTACCAATTAAGGACTCTTTGAAAGGAAAGATTGGTTTGCAACAATGGGGTTCTAGTATTGCTATATGGTATTATGATAAGATTTGGTTATATATAGCTTGCATTTATTAAGCTAACTACAGATTTGGTAGTTCTCATATGACCCTTGGGGTGATTTTAAAACTTTCCTGGTATGTATCCTTTTGATATTGGGGCTGTTAAGTCTAAAAGATACTGATATGGAACTGTACCATAGCTAGAGTGTAAGTGAATTATCAAGGCATAAGTACTAACAAAGTGGCCAGTGGCTACTCTACTGTAGGAGGCGAACCTGTGGACAATTTGTCCAATTGTTGGGTTGTAATGCTTCAGAACACAAGGCTGCAGTCTGGCGAGGCCATGGATTGCATAGTGTCTAACTAGCAAATGTTTCCTAGACTGATTGATGAAAGACACAGAAAGGGTTGCGACGACCCACACACAGAGTGACAATTGACAGATGTCCCAGGAATGGAAACCCTTTGGCTGGCAAAATTGGCAACGTGCAACTTTCATCTTTCATTTAGTTGGCATGTAATCAACTTGATGAGAAAACCACTTTTCCAGCTTACCTATCCGATGAGGCCGAGGGTGGGAATATATGCATCTGTCGCTGGGTAACTTCTAACAGATGTACCAGGAGTTTACCCTTTTGTTGTCTCCCCCTGGTATGGGGATAGCTGCCTTTTTCCATTAGTCAGCTCCTTAAAGCTTCTTTTTTTTTTTTTTTCTTTCTTTTGTTTTCTAAAAATTGCCATTTGAGTTTTATTAGTAGTCAGATGTTGTTTAGTAATTTATAGATTCTGTTATGATGTTGCTCACTAAATAATTTTTAATTTTTTAGCGTATTTTACCTGTTGTATTTCACGAAGGCTGTAAAGGAGCTATACAATTTTGATTTTGAGCTTTATTTCATTAAAATCAAGCAAATGCAATCTATGGGAAGAAGATAAGGTACAGGTTGACCCTGTTGATGAACCAAAGACGAGCTCTAAAAATCACTTCTTCCACTTAATTCTTCAAGAGATAATTGTAATGTCCTTAAAACATCCTACAATACATGTTGAAAGAGGATACATTCAGGTATTTGTTTTCTTTCCGTGGCGCCCACCATTCAACCAATTGTGAGATGCACTACTTTAAGTCTATTATCTCTTTTCTCTTCATCTGTATCTCCTTTCATTGTTGAATTACCTTATCAGCATTAATTGCCAGGAATAACTATTCAGCAAAGAACATTGCAGAGACTGCGCTTGTCACCCATTCTCTTCCCTTATGTATGGATTGCACTAGTTTACCTCCTTTAACCCCTTGTGTTCCATTTTATTGTTTATCGTTTATTGTTTATCGTTTATTGTTTTGCTTATTGCTCTCACATATTCCTCTTTCTTGTTTGTTGCAGTGCTGCTTCAATTTGCTACCTTCCACCCTTTTCTCCTCTATATGATGAAATATGGTAAACCTTAGTACACAATCTCTCTCTCTCTCTCTCTCTCTCTGTGGGATAAAATCAAATGCATGAAGGAGTAAGTATATGAATTAATGAAGGCCCTGCTCTTGTGACATGTTTGTTACTTGTATGTATGATTTATGCAACTGGGATCTTGCTGGGTTAAGGAATATATGTCATGGTAGATGTAAAATTTGTCTTTGTTGTGAGAGAAGTTTTCTAGTCTTTGCTATAAAGAAAGTTGTAAATGGAATATTGTTGGAAGAACGATGCAGCTGGCTAATGAAATTTAAAAAAAAAAAAAAATACCAATGTTCCGTGAGGCTCCAGTTACCCTCATCAATCTTTGTTGTGTAGATCTACCAAATGAAATGCATTTTTATTTTCTGAAAATATCATGCTTTTTTTGTTTTTGTTACCATTAGTAAAAAAATCCCATGTATCTGAAAATTGATCTATTTGAGATTACATTTGTCCAAGATGAAGCTTAGGAGTTGCTGTAATTGTAAAGATTGGTTTCACTCACAGTATTTAATATTGTGTTTGGATATTATATTTGTCGAGAGATTTCTAGCATAATCTTTTTTTTTTTTTTTTTTTTTTCGGTTGATTTTGGTTATGTTTGTAAAGTGAGAAGGATATGAATATAAATTTATCAAAAGAATTTATTTTAATGTTTAGTAAGCTATATAAGTAATTTTATTTTCCTCTCTCTATGTATCAAAGATGTTGTGTTTAAATTTTGAAATTTAGCCTCCGTTTGAGAAGTGGGTTGGCTTTTTGGCTTTTTTGGCTATTTTAGCCTGGGCTTAAAAGCTTGGTTTGGGAAGGGCTTTTTGGCTTTTTGGCTTTTTTGAGTTTTTTTGTGAGAGAAGAATGTAATGATTATGGGTTGGATGTGATGTTTTGTTTGTTATGGCTAAAAAAGCCTATTTTGTTTTTTGTGGCTAAAATAGCCAAAAAAGCCTGCAAACCCACTTGCCAAACATAGGCTAGTGTTGTGTTTTGTTCATGAACTTGGTAAGGGATTTAGAAAGGAAAAGGAAAAATGTAAGTGAAATATGAATGAAACATAATTATATTTTCACACATTTTTTTTCTTTCTATTTTCAAATTTTTATTTAAATCTATAAATCAAATATAGTTTAATTTTTTTTTAATAAAAAGAAAATGATTTCTTTGAAGAAATTATAACATTTCAGATATTAAAATATTGGCAATGTATCATAAAATAAAGAGAACCATTAAAAAAACAAATGAATAACAAACTCAAATATATGTTAAAAAAATACATATAAAATTTGAGGTAATTACAAAAAGATTCCTGACTATTATAATAAAATAAATTTTTAAATCTTAAATTTTTAATTTATTTTCAATCTAAATTTTTTGTCTGTTTTCATGAAGAAAAAAATCAACAAAAAGTAGGTGATTTATATTGAAAAAGAAATTACAATTTAAATTGGAAAAAATAAAAATTCAGTTTATCTTTAAAAATTAACAAAGAGATTAAAATGATGAGGTTAGACCATCTCCAATCCGTCACCTTTTTTTCTCATCAAATTTAAATTTGATAAAAAAAATGCTCAAAAAACATCTCCAATCATTTTATCAAATGTTCATCAAATCAAATAATAGTCATTTTTTTTTCTCATCAAATTCAACAAATTTAAATCTGATGAAAATTTAAAAAGATGAAGCATTGGAGATTAAAAAAACAATTAAATTCATTTTACCCCCTTGTGGTTAGGAGTTGGAACACTTTACCCCCCAGTGATTCAAATATAGTCAAAAAGACCTGACGTGATTTTAAACTAAAGTGCTATCGTTAGTTTTTCGATCCAAATTAACAAAGGGATATTTCACACACCACTTTTGAGAGTGGTTTAATTTTCTGAAAAATTAAAGCGAAATTAATACAAGAAAAAAAAAATTATCCCTATCTTCTCTAATCCTAAAATTAAATGAATATATTAATTAAAATAAAATAAATCAAATTAAAATATAATTAAGAATTGATCTAAAATATAAAATATAATTAAATAAGAATTTAGAATAAATAATAATTAAGGATGGATCTAAAATATAATTAAATTAAAATTAGATTAACATGTTAGGAATTACAATAAATAATTAAAAATTTAGAATTAATTTAAATTAAAATTAGATTAAAAAGAGGAATTACAATAAAGAATTAAGGATTTAGGATTAATTGTGATCTAAAATATAATTAAATTAAAAAAAATTAAGAATTACAATAAATAACTAAGAAATTATGATTTAATTGAATTAATGGTAGATATTATAAATTATGTGTATGAGAGAGAGAGAGAGAGAGAGAGAATAACAAAAGAGGTATAGGGTTCGAGGATATTACAATCATTTTATATTTATAGTTAATTGTGATAAGAATCTAAAATTATATGGGGCTTTCTGACTATATTTGAACTATAAAGGGATAAAGTGTTTTGGCCTCAAACCACAATAGGGTAAAATGAGTTTTGTCCTAAATTTTATATCTATAAATTTACTCACAATAATGTGGTGAAGGAGTCGGGTGTTAGACCTATATATTTGAATATGTAACAAATTAAAAGTTGTTACCTATAATACCATATTTGGACAACATTTTTTTGGAATATCAAACATTTTTCTTAGGAACCTAATATCTCTCTCTCTATTACATTTCTCTTCTCAATACTCAACCAAATGAGATATCAATTGTAGAATGGTTGAATAATTGTTTGATTATATACATTATTGTTTTTTTTAACACTATTGATGATGAGATTATCATGCAATTGTAAAAATTTATCTATTTTTTTATTTTGTTAAGACAATAATAATTTGTTACAAGTGTATTTTATTTAAAGGTGAGAAAATTCAAATGTTAATTACTGTAAATTTCTTCTCTTTTTTTTTTTATGAAATTTGTGAAACTCAAATGTTTTTTTAATGACTCCATCTAAAAATAACTTTTAGAGCCGTCACTGCTTGCCGTACACCAGATCTATCTTAAACCTTCCATATAATATATTAAAATTAAGTTAGGCCATTATTTATTATTAATGTAAGATAGTGTCCATTTAAAATCTTCAGATAATTAATTTATTCCACTTTGTTTTCAGAAGTCGGAGTTAGGTTGATTTTGTCTGCTACTCCACCAGACAAAGCAATAAAGTTAATGTCCAAAATACGAGAAATTTTTGAATGCAGAGAGAGTAGGTGTCATGTGATATCTTTCTCTTTTCTATTGGTTAAGAGAGTAGAGACTATATTTATGTATTAGATGATGAGATGATAACATAAAAGTCATGATATTTGTAATTGATTGAAGGTACCATGTGACATGTCATATAGTATCCTATCTGCACCCAAGAATTTTTTCCAAAATACAATTATAATAAGATATTATATACGTGATTTTATATAATAATAAATTATAACATAGTAAAATAAATACTCAATTTGACATTAATAATAATAGTTAAATTGAAAATAAAAATAGTAATATTATTTAATTTTTTTTAAGAAAAATTAGTCTAAGGTCCATCTTCCATTTTTAGTAATGTAAGAGATCCACAATATTATTTTATGAAGTCTAAGGTCCCTTAACCCCACACCCATATATCACAGAGAAATTTGACTCTCCCAACCATGGCACTCAATCTTTGACAAAGAAAAACCAATATTTCTCTCTCTCTCTCTCTCTCTCTCTCTCTCTAAATCTATCGATCTAATTTTGTTGATATTCATTCATTCATATATGACTTTGATTTGCAGAATGCATAAATCAAATGTTGAAACTGAACCAACCAGTGAATTCAAGTGGAACAGCGAATGAAGAAGTTTACATGATCTTGATCTACTACAAGTTCTGCCAAGACATTCTCTCCCCTCTCATCTATGTCAAGGACCTCCGCAAGCACGGCGTAACCCTATACTTCCTCATCGACGAGGACCGCAAGCCTGTCCATGATGTCCCCACCATCTACTTCGTCCAATCCACTTACCTCAATGTTCAGCGAATCGTTTCTAATGCCTATCGATCTCTCTACGATTCCTTCTACCTCAATTTCTCATCTTCGATTCCTCACCTTTCCTTGAAGGTCTCGTATCGGGGACTTTCAATTCCGACTCCATCAATCGAATTTCCAAGGTACACGAACAGTACTTGGAGTTTGTAACCCTAGAGGATAATTTTGTTTTCTCTTGCAGATAAGCCTTGTTATGTCCAACTGGTTGCAGAATTATGTATTGGATGATCAACATTGGGGTGATATTAAGAGTTGTTTTGTTGAGTTTAAGATTTGTAAGAGAATTGAAGATGATATGGGTGTATATATATATACAAATTTTGAAAGATTTGTATATATAGATATGGTAATGATGAAATACAAGTGAGGTGTGAGAATGAAGCTCAGAGGAGTTTCATTACATTA